TCTCAGAGGGAAGGTGGAGGGGGTAGGGTTTGGGAAAAGATCTACCAAATAACTTGTATGCTTATATGTATAACCTATTTACACAGTCGATAGGGAAGTAGAGACCTGTGATGGGAGCTGGGGTGCTCTAAAATGGGTCAATTACCTGAAACCGCTTTGGCTCAGTGGTAGAGCGTCAGTCTGCGGACTGAAGGGTCCCGGGTTTGATTCTGGTCAAGGGCATGTACCTTGGTTGCGGGCATATCCCCAGTTGGGAGAGGGTGCAAGAGGTAGCTGATTGATGATTCTCTCATCGATGTTTCTAACTCTATCTCTCTTCCTCTCTGTAAAAAATCAATAAAAGATATATATATATTTTAAACGGGTCAATCAGAGAAAAAGGGGGACATCTGTAATACTTTCAACATTAGAATTTTTTTTAATCCCTAAAAAATAAAAAGGAGATGAAAAGATGGGCAGTTCAATCTTTGATGGACATTGAGTGAATTTTTATTGGATGTGGGACTGGGAAGCCAGCTTGTGAGTTTGGCTGACATAGATTACACAGTAATTTAATTTACTTATCAATTCAAATTTCTCATCACATCTATGTGACTTTAGACAATATCTCATGAATTAGTGAGAATAATAAAAAAATTATTATTTAAATTGGAACATAAAATTAAAAATGTAAAGAAAATACTTTCAGATGAGAGTGACATATATTCAGGGCTTTCTAAATTACCACACCTTCATGATTCCTTGAATATATTTGTTTAGTTGGAATATTATGCAACATTATTCAGAGATGGGTTATAGACAGCAAGCCATATAGTAGCTGACCATCTAAAATAAAAGTGAGCTTAGATATTTTTTATTTTTCCCCATAAACTTTAATTTTATTGTTACTTGAGAGGGTTTTTTAAATATATATATATATATATATATATATATATATATATATATATATAATGTATTTTATTGATTTTTTTACAAAGAGGAAGGGAGAGGGATAGAAAGTTAGAAATATCAATGAGAGAGAAAGATCAATCAGTTGCCTTCTACGCACCCTACTGGGGATGTGTCTACAACCAAAGTACATACCCTTGTCCAGAATTGAACCTGGGACTCTTCAGTCTGCAGGCCGATGCTCTATTCACTTAGCCAAACCAATTAGGACACTACTTGAGAGTTTATGGTACTAGAGGCCCAGTGCACAAACTCATGCAAAAACAGGTGGGAGAGACCACAGAAGGTTGACCAGTAGGCCCTGACCTAGTTGTGTAGATGTGCTGAGGTAGTGGCAAGCAAAGACCACAGATAGAGCCCCCCAAAGTGGCCTGAACACTAGCTATGCTCTGAGGTGGAAATAACTCTACATTGCTGCCCGAACTCAGGCTACCTCACTCTCCCTAAGGCAGAGTTGCTGACAGACAGGTCCTCTCTTCTATCTCAGCTGCACATTTTTCTCAAGATTCCACCCCCAGCATGATAAGTAGCTGACTTCAGCCAGTGATGGCACACCGCCTTAGGAGCAAGAGCCCTTCAGAGATTGGGAGCCTGGAAAGGTGCAGGGCTGAGCTAGAAGTATTTGATGGGGGCAGAAGGGCGATCAGCATGGTGCGGTGGCAAAGGTAAGATGGTGCTTACTTTAAGTCTTTGCAGTTAAGCTGCTGCCTTGCTCCTTCTGCTCCCTCCGAGCTGCTACTCTGTCTCATCAACTTCAGGGTCTCCTCCTACAGGCTTCCTGGACCCAGAGTTTTAGCTGGGGGGAAGGGACCATGGGAAGTTGGTTGTGGGAGCTCACTGACCAATAGGGGGCAACTTCTGCATTGAGTTTCTGCCCTCTGGTGGTCAGTGAATGTCATAGCAACCTGTTGTTCCAGTCATTCTGTCCTAATGGTTGCTTAGGCTTTTATATTTATATAGATGGTTAGGTTTTTTCAAGCAGGCCTTCAAATGATTCTCATTGAAAGAATAAAAACTGTAAGTTTCACTTTTTGTGTATTAGTGGAGTTACTAGTATACTGCTTAGAAGAATAAAAGAATCTATTTTTAATCGTCTAGCACACTGGTTAAAAGTATATATTTTGGGCATATTCATTTTTTCCCCCTGCAACCTATTAAGTAAGGTCACTGTCTTTTTCAGAGTTATATGTACCAGTAGGGGAAAGTCCAACACACTTTGCTTACATTTAACTGCTATTTTCTTGCAAATAAGGGTTATTAGTCTGTTCAACTCCTGAAGAACCCAGAGAGATATTGTGATAACAGGACACATAGGATAAGGAAGTTCTGTCTTAAAGATGTCTGCAATATCTTCCAAGTGAACTTGTCTTAGGCTGTCATGCCTCAAGTATGTGCATGCTGGCATCTTGAGTGTGGCTAGCAGAGATAGGCATATGGCTTTTCATAAAAATAAAAAAATAAAAAAGTAGAATCAGGGTTATCGTTACTAGGGCTGTGCATTGGCATTCTGTTTCCATTCCTCGTTGGATATATAGTGGAAATAATTTCCTTATAAACTTGGGTCTGACCACTAACTGGCTTTGGCCAATGGAATGTAACTAGAGATTATGTGGGCCATTATTAGAAGTCTTTGAGAGCATGATTTGCCATGTTTCCTTTCCTCTACCATGGTGATTGTGGAAGCTCATGTCAAGATGGAGCCTCCGTCAGCCTGAGTTTCCTTAGATGGGAAAAACCTCCCTGCCAACCTAGTGTTGACATATATCGTTAGCATCATAAGAAATAAACCATTATTTTAAGCCAGTGAAATTTCAAGGTTGCTATTGCAGTATAACTTTGCCTATCCTTTTTACATTTATTTTTAATTATAGTTGACATACAATATTATATTAATTTCAGGTGTACAACATAGAACTTTTAAGGTAAAGTTGGTGAATGATTAATTATAGTGGGTTCAAGAAGAATGATAGGAAAGAAGTGGACAGCAAGCATCTTAGCTATTAAGAACAAAGAAATAACTGAAGGGGGTTACAGGGTAAAACAAAGGTGCTATTGTTGTTGATTTTATGATGGGCTGTTAGGAATAATATCTTTGACTAAGTTAAGAAAATTCTGTTTGTAGAATAATTGAAGTCGTAATGTCCTTGAGTAGAAGAGAAAGGAGTACAAAAGTGGAGGATTGGCCTAAGATAGGAGCAAGGACCCTTTATTCATTGCAATAAAAAAATAGACTAGATATAGGTATAGAGGCAGGAAGACTAGTAAATGAGGTATTACCATGCTCTCTGATTATTCTACTTTCTCAATTAAATAAGTAGCTAGATCACCAACTAAAAGAAGAAGGGAAAAGATTGGAGGTTTGAAGACAGAAAAGTGAAATAAATATTCATAAAACTTGGTGAATCCTAATGGCCTAATATCAATGGCCCACTTGGCACAAATAGTTTTGAATTTAAAATGGGACCACAAAATAGATATTTTTATAAAGGCATATCAGCTAAATAGAGCATAAGCAAAGCAACTGGTTGATATTTTTCCAGGGAAATAGCTGTAAGAGAATGTTAAGGAATCTATGCCAGATGATGGGCTGAGGGAGTGTGAAAATATGGAAGAGTCACTATAGTTGAATAGCTCTTATAGTCAAAATGCTAGAAGGAATGAGCTGAAAATGAAAAATAAGAATTTAAATCTGATATTATGAATGAGGTGCAGTTATAATCTGTGGATGATTGGGAAGGATGGATGAGAGTATATATCAAAGAACTAAGATGTCAAATTATTAGAAGTACCATTGTTTGGATGTTGAAATCCCAAAGAAATATAAGAGGCATGGTAATAGAGGCATAGTAAATTGGATGTTATAATCTAGGAATGAGGAGTAGAGATCTGGAAGTCAACTGATAACAGCAAGGAAGGGTATAGCTTATATGATAGCCTGATGGCATGAACTTCAAAGAAACTAGATAGTCTTTGGGAGAGTCAAGGATAATAGTTTGGCAGTAGTAATGGTGAACAGGAAAAGATAGCTCACCTCCAGACTTAGTGGCTTCAGGATGAGAAAGCAGTACTTTTGAGGATTTCAGTTATAACTGAAAAAAAGATGAAGGAAAAGTTCACTGAAGAGGTTGAATATGGAGCCAATTTTGCTGAAGATGGACTGGAAGTTCCAGGAATCACAATGGATTTACATAAAGAAATAGGGGATTGGTAACATCAAATTAGGGGACTTTATAAGACTAATAAGGACAAGTCTTCATAAGAATGAATGATCTGGGGGCCTTAGGCTTCTATGGAGTGGGGTTAATGGGAATAATGCTGCCAGTGAGATGACACAATGATTTGGAGGAGAAACCGGATTCACCTAATTGCCAACTCAGCTTTCATTTGCTGTGTTGGTAGAAGTAGGAACTCTTTCCAAGGAGTAAAATATCTACCCCTTCATCTTATTAGTTAATCCTAGATATAGAAGAAATTAAAATATGATTTTGAAGTTTCATAGGGCTTACTCTGGCCAGAATAGCATTGGACAGGATTGCAAAATTTCCACATCCTATACCTATGGCAGATATTGCTAATCCAACTTGGCACTGTTTCTTCCTGACTCTGGCTATAGTTTTAGAATCCATTTCATAATAGTACTGGAAATACCAGCTACTAATCCATAGATATTAACTATTCAGCACAGTTACTGTGTTGAGCATGTTTTATAGATATTACTTTAATTATTACAACAGCCCTGTGAGGTTTTACAGATGAAGACCCCAATGACCAAAAATGTTAAGAAACTTGCTCAAGATCATAACAGCTGAAAATCAGGAAAACCAAGATTTAAATACTGTTCTACTTTCTTCCAAAAATCTCTCACTTAACCATTGTAATTTAATTATTGGAACTAATGTTGAAATATTATTGCCATTCCTATGAGGTATTTGCAGTTAATTTATTTTCAGAATTACCAGGATATACAGGGGGGAAAAAAAAAGATTATCAATGTTGATTATTTTGTAGGAATAAAGAAAGTGATCCCAAAAGGGGGAAAAAGTCACAGAAGAATGTCAGTCAACCAAGAAAGAAAGAGTCAAGGAGTTCCTGAAGATGGTAATGAAGCAATCATAAATAAATAATTAAAAGATAAGCAGCAACAAGAAAGCACATGATAGGATAATTGTGTTAAATTTTATAGAAAATTAGGATTCTAGGAAGCTGTTAAATTTCTCCAGGAAGAAACTTATTTAGTGTTTAGAAAAGGTATAATAACCTGAAAATGCAGGCCTATAATGAAAATTCATCAACTATAATTGCTATATTGTTGCTATGGTGGCAGTGCAATTATAGTATGTATGCCGATGGTCTGAATAAAATATGTTGGGACAATCAAAATATTTATACTGTTCTATAAAGAAACAGGTACAACATTGCAGTAGGCTATTTTAAATTGTCTCTTATTATGGCCTTTGATTTTGGTTTTGTTTATAGTCAGAAAGGGAAAATTGTAAACCCTAAATTTTCTTATGAAAAAAAATCACATTCAAATAACTTCAAGTAAAGAAACATGACTTGTTTGCATTTAAATTTTTATAATATACATTATTCTTTTGTCTAGCTCTGGCTAACCAAGACACATCTTCATTAACTGATGCTGTAGAGCAAGTTGCAAAGCAACAGCAATCACAAACATCAGAAATAGAAAAAAACAAAAAAGTTCTGTTTCATTTACAGGTAACTGTTTCATATGTCTTCTAAATAAGTCTTTATTTTCTTCAAAACTATATTAAATTAGTAACAGGTAAGTTATTGAGGATACTTAATTCTGGTAGTCAATTTTAAACACATACTTTTTATATTTACCTCTTTCTTAATTATTCTGTTATCCCTAAGTGAAATCTATTTGAGTATTCCAGTTTTGTGGGACATTTTATACACCCAATGTACAAATATTCAACAGCGTGATTACAACTGTAGTATGAGCATATGAAACCCAATGTCTCAAATAGAATTATTTAAAATTCACTTCTAAAGCAACCGCTCAGGTAGACACCTAACCGCAGCAGCACACAACAATTTCAGTGGAATACAACTAAAATGTAGAGTGGACATTGCCCAGAGCTACAGGTAGTCGACTGACTGAAAATTCTTCAACAAGAAGGAAAGAGAAAACCAGAAGGAAAATCAGAGGAGCTGAAAAATCCTAAGGTACACAAACATCTGCGCGCACTCACACGCACAGAGGACGCAGCCAGAGAGGAGAAGAAGGCTGGGTGCCTGCCTGGCGTTCCCTAGCAGGAAGGAAATAAAAACTCCGGCCTGGGCCGAACCCCAGAACTGTCAGCGCTGAGCTGTTAAATTTATAAGTGCAATTATAGTATGTTATGGGCCAGACCCTGGGGACCCAGGCTCGGGCAGGGGGAGACGGGGCTGTGAGGAGGAATCTCAGGGGAATGGCGAAAAGCAGAGCCCCTGGAGTTGCACACATTGCGCGCAGAGTACAGAATGTTGACTCTGATGCTGGATTGCCCTGGCGGGAAGAAACAAAACCTCCGGCAATGCTGAGCTCCACTCGCGACTGCTCTGAACCCCAGTTCTAGGCCAGACCCTGGAGACCCAGGCACAGGCAGGGGGAGATGGAGCTGTGAGGCGGAATCCCAGGGGAGCGGCGAAAAGCAGAGCCCCCAGAGTTGCGCACATTGCGCGCAGAGGACAGTCTGTTGACTCTGATGCTAGATGCCCCTAGCGGGAAGGAGAAAAAAAGCTCCAGATTGGAGGAATGCAATGAGGAGCAGGAGCCCCTGCAGGACACCAGCCAGCCAGGCGCCAGCAAGGAACTGCGCGACGGGGCCCCCTGGGGGGGGGGGGTGCCCCTGGGCCTTCGACCACTGAGCGCGGGCCATGGAGCCGAGGCCGGGGGCTGCTTCCTGGGCGGCGCCGACCCCGGCAACAGGCTGAAGCAGCACAGGAGCCCGCAGAGAACAAAGGGGTGCCACAGGTCAACCTGCTGAGCTTCCAGGACAAGGAGGAAGAAACTGAAGAAGTTTTCAATGTGAAGAAATCAAATGAGAGCAAGAGATAGTAAAATTACTTAAGAAAGAATACAAAGAAGATCTTGAAAAATCGAAGACTAAGTCAGAACTCAACTCACCAGCCAACATTGCAACATAAATGCGTTTAAAAAAAAAAAAAAAAGGACAGAATGTTGGAACGGCGGCGGACAGACCTAGAGTGGCCAGGCACAAGGCAGTGGCTGCCAGGCCTGGAGCAGCAACAGCTAGGCCCCAGAGCAGCAGCAGTCAGAACCAGAGCAGCAACAGCCAGGCCTGGAGCAGCCAGACCTGGGGCACTGGCAGCCAGGCCTGAGGCGGAGACGGCCAAGCCCAGGGTGGCCAGTCCAGGAACACCCAGGCCCAGAGTGGCCGGGCTCGGAGAAGCCGGTCCCAGAGCAGCCGGGTCGGGAGTAGCCAGACCCAGAACATCAGCAGCCAAGCTCGGAGCATCCAGGCCAGGAGCTGCCAGGCTTGGAGCGGCTGGGCCCAGGGCAGCCGGGCCCAGAGCAGCCGGGTTGGGAGCAGCCAGGCACAGAGCAGCAGCAACCATGCTTGGAGCAGCCAGGTCGGGAGCGGCCAGGCCCGGAGCGGCCGGGTCCAGAGGAGCCGGGTCGGGTGCGGCCAGGCCCGAAGCAGCAGCTGCCAGACCAGGAGCGGCCAGGCCCGGAGCAGCCAGGTCGGGTGCGGCCAGGCCTGGAGCAGCAGCAGCCAGGCTGGGAGCAGCCAGGCCCAGAGTGGCCGGGCCTGGAGCAGCCGGGCCCAGAGCAGCCGGGCCCAGAGCAGCCGGGTCGGGTGCGGCAGTGGCCAGACCCGGAGCAGCTGGTTGTGGAACGGACCAGAGCAACAGAGGCCAGGCCCGGAGCATCCAGGCCTGGAACAGCTCGCTCCTCGCCTGCCTCCGCTCCAAGGCTGCCTCTCAGACATGGCTGTAAACTTTTGGGGAAACTTGAGGGTCTGCTGAATCAAAGAGGAAGGCGTAGATCTGGATGTGTTAAATCAGTATAATGCTGCGGTGTTGATCTGTGAGTGCCTTGTGTGGGGCCTGGATGAGGTTGGTTGATTATTTGGAAATGTCTTTTGTGTGAAGTGTATCCTTGGGCATGTGGAGGTATTATTGATTTGAGAAAATGCTAAGTAACTGATTTACTATCTGAAAAATTTAAAGTTCTGAAAGTTTAAGGTCTCTTGCCAAAAAGAGGTTTTAAAGCTAACACCTTCATTTTAAAGGGAATGACAAGCTCTTCCCACCCAGAACAGGTAATCCAATTCCAACCAGCAGCTATGTTTAAACAATGTGTCCATTTATGGGAGGGGAGTAGACTGACTGTTCTTGGGGAAAGGGAGGAAGGAAGAGACTGAACATAAACTGTGCACCTATGGATGAGGACAATGAGGGGTGGGGAGGGGGCGGAGGGTGGGGTGGGAACCTGGTGGAAGGGGGAAGAAATGAGGAACCTTTGTTATAATATAAACAATAAAGATTGATTAAGAAAATAAATAAATAAAATTCATTTCTATTATATATTTATTCCTAAAATGCTTAATTTAAGGAAGTTTAAGTTTTAAGCTAGTGTTTTGAAAGTTATGACTTACGAGTTTCCAGTTGTCAGTTTTAAGTAGATAAGGAACATTTCTGTGTTTCTTATATTTTATATTATATTTATAATTCTAGTACAGGGAATCCCAAAGGTATGTTTGGTTTTTGCACATAGCATAATTAGATGGCTATATTCAATTAATATAACTAAAAGAGCAAAATGGAAACGGTAACTTTACTATGTGCTCTGTAAAGTTTTAAGAGCTGAACTGTCTAGTTTGAAAGATAAAATTTGCTACTTCCAGCTCTGTGATTTAATTTATCAGTGCTTCTGTTTTCTCCTTTTAAAAATGGATATAATAATAGGACCTGCCTATAAGGTATTCATGATGATTTAGTTAGTTCTTATGAATATTATGTATTTACTATCTCAAAAATTTGCTGGGGCCCCAGTGGACAGTATAGTCTTAATTTTTATGTTGGCTTTAGATATTAATGCATCAACAGAGATATGATGATAATTATACTATCACTAGAGTCCCGGTACATGAAATTTATGCACGCGGAGGGGAGTGTCCCTCAGCCCAGCCTGCACCCTCTCTAATCTGGGACCCATTAAGGGATATCCAACTGCCCGCACCATGGGCCTGGGAGGCATCCACGCATGACCGGTGCGATCTGATGCCCACGCCAGAGATCTGCTGCCCACGCAGCTGCCTGGGCCAAGGGCATTCTAGGCACCCGAGCATGGCCAGCGTGATCCACTGTCTGCCTCAGCCCAGGCTGTGGGCCTGAAAGGCGCCTGAGCGTGACCGGTGCCATCTGCTGCCTGTCCCTGCCTGGGCTGTGAGCCTGGGAGACACCTGGGCTGCCTATACACCCCCCCCCCCCCCCAGCAATCAACTCCCATATGCAGCTGAGGGGTGTAGGCCTGGGAGGCAGGCGCTCCCTCCAAAGCTATTCCCTCCCAGAGGCAGCCTGGGGTGTCAGGCTGCACCCCCATGGAGTGATCCCCCCCACATACTATAGTCTTGGAACTTCCCTTGATGCCAGTGACTGGAAATGGGCGGTAATATCTGGGTGATGCTGCCCAGCAAACCTCTCTCATTGGGTAGAAACTGCTGACCAGGTTAGGGAGGCAAATGGGTTTTATTTAAAATCTCTAGAAACTGCAAAGGAAATGGCTGAGGTAGGGTCTTACATCAAAAGTAACTTACAGCTGATTTCTGAAGGCAAATGGGGACATTGCAGTTACATTACTGGAGAGTACTCCAGGGTCCAGAAGTTGGCTCTGCAAGGACGTTGGTGGGTGCTCCCCACCCTGGTTCATCAGCACCTTGGGCAGGGTTTGAGCCCACCCAGGAAGGCCTTTTCCCCTACAGTTTTCACCAAGGCAGGGAGGTTTTGTAGACATGAATAAGAAGTGCCCACACACAAGTCCTGAAGATGCTGGGGCCGGAAGAAATGACAATCAAACAGGGAAAAGAACAAAACCAGAAATACCATCGATCTCAACATAGAGAATCTTTTTCTTCAGATGCCTGTGTGTTTCCCTCTTCTTCGTCTTCTGCAAGCAAGACAGATTCAAGTACTGATGATTCTACCAATGGAAAAGTTAAGAGAGAGGACAGAAGAGGAATAAAAGGGGGGGGGGGGGAAGGACAAAAGATGAAACATCAAGAAAAAGAAAGAGAAGGAAAAAAGGAAGAAACAGCCACATGATATCACCTATTTAAGGTCTCATGAAATTCCTGTTTAAGTTCATTTTATGACACTTTTAGTTTGGGTTTACATTTTTACTGGTTTGTCAAGACCATGGCAGGTACACTGTCCAATATGTTAAAGAAAAAAACCTATCTAATAAAGAGGGAATATGGAGGGGGGAGCATTTGGGAGTGACTGGGCTATCAGAGGAAGGCAGTTGGGGACTGTTGGGCCAGCAGGGGAACAGTTAGGCATTGATCTCATACTGGCAGGAGAGTGGTTAGGGATTAATCAGGCTGGCAGGCAGAAGCAGTTAGGGGCAATCAAGAATGCAGGCAGGCAAGCAATTGGGAGCCAGCAGTCCTGGATTGTGAGAGGGATGTCCTACTGCCCGTTTAGGCCCAATCCTACAGACATCCCTTGAGGATGCAGATTGGAGAGGGTGCAGGCTGAGCTGAGGGACACCCTCCCTCTGCCCATGCACGAATTTCATGCACCGGGCCTCTAGTATTTAATAAACAGAAAGAGGGATGAGAGAAAATATGAGAAAGATGGAACTATATGTAGATAGAGACTAGAGCATACATGACTTTGTAAGGCACATTGGAAATTTGATTTTTATTAACTAGAGGCCCAGCACATGATTAAATCATGCACATGTAGGGTCCCCTAAACCTACTCTGCTATCAGGGCCATGTCCGCCATCCTGCAATGCCTCACATGCTCTGAGGATGCTGATGGTGCTTCATGACATTCCACTGACACTACTGGAACACCAGGGGGTGTGTGTTGGGGGGAAAGGGGTGAGACCCCAGACTCTGCTGTTGCCGCTGTGGGCCTCACAAGATCATTTGTGCCTGGCTGGTCCCCATGTCTCTCTCCTCAGTGTTGAGTATCTGAACTTTTTGGTTGTTTCAAATCATTTGGCTCTTTCCCTTATAACAGCTTGTGTGGCGCTCCCTGCCCCTGCCCGCCTGGCACCCATTCCCCATGCCCTCTTTGCTGCATGGCCCACCCACCTGCTGCCCACCATGCTATGATCAGAGCCTGTGGGCCATGGGACCAAGAGGTGCTCCATGCACCTCCTGATGACTCGTCTTTGGTTGTCACAGTGTTACAACCACTGGGTTTTTATTATATAGATGCAGTGGCAAACCATTAAAGGATCTTGAGCAGATAAGTAACATGATATAATGTATATTTTTTTAAAAGATTCATCTGCCTAATATATGGAGCCTGGTTGAGGTACAGGGGGAATAATGGAAACAGGAAGACCAGTAGAAGCTAGGCTGTGCTAAAAAAAAATTGATCAGAAGTTAATCTGGGATTTTATTTTGGAGACCAAACCAGCAAGATTTGCTGGTAAATAGGTGTTGGGGAAAGGGTAAAGGGATTTTGAGTATTCAGGTGGAAAGTGGTGCAGCTTATTGCAACCAAGATGATTAAGGGGAATATGTTGAGTGTATAAAAAGAATTCTTTTCTGAACATGTATAGATGATATATCTATTAGATATAGGAATTGAAATGTCAACTGGAAATAAAGATAGAGATTCATCAGCATGTTGCATTTTTCACTGTACTTCCCTCTCTGTCTCTGACAAGAAAAGGATAGATTGAGTCTGCCTTTTTTGTATAATGACTCCCTCTCAAAATTATGTGTTCAAAGAATATAGTCATGAAAAGGAGGATGGCTTGCAGAGTTGTTTTGGTTGCAGTTAGATAATAAAGAGAAGGAAAGACATAAGGTGACTCCCAAAGTAGTGCCATTAGTTAATTTGTGAAAATAAGGGTGTGGTTATTTTCATTTTGATACCAACTCTTCATCTTTGTGTATATAAGACCCTTTGCCACGTGTCATCATAATGGTCTGCCACAGTGGTGCACATACATCTGCTCCTTGATGATGAGTTTCATCATGTGACCAGCTGGGGTGTGACCTGATGTTATTTGAAGAGAAGCTTGAAAAAACTCTTCCATAATTGGGCTTCCATTCTAATGCATCTACTATCATCATGAGAAGGACATGATTGGCATGACTGACTGAAAGATAATATATATGTTATGCAAAGGTAAGACCCCAGCTAGCCAAACTAAGTCATGTAACAGCCGGCCAACCCTCAGACATTTGAGCAAATCTAACCAAGGTCCACATCTAGGCAACTTCAACTGCTCACAGTCATGTGAGCAATAAATACTTGTTTTACAAGTCACTGAGGTTTCACCATTCTGACACTACATAATTGATATAAAGAATAACAGTATGGGATAGAGGGGAAGATTAGTTTGATTTTTGACATGTTGCATTTGAGATGGCAAGTGGCCACTGGATAGGTCTTAACAGCCACTTAAGTTCTGTGAATTATCAGCATAGACACAGCTCAACATATAAGTATGGATAAGATTACCCAAGGAATAATATATAGAACGAAAGGAGAAAATTCTGATGACGCCACCCTAAGGAAGACCCGCTTTAGAAGGAACCATAGTGATTGAGAAGGAAAGATCAGCAGTATCTGGGAGAACCAGGGAAGAGTGATGATGTGAAAACAGGAAACACCCACAGATGCAGAAACACCAACACCAACTGATGGTTGCCAAAGGGGAGCTGCAGTAGGGGACTGGGGGGAAATGTGAAGGGAATGAGAAGTACATGATTGGTAGTCACAAATAGTTATGGGATATAAAGTACAGCATAGGGAACATAGCCAATAATATTAAAATTGCCAAATGCTGAGAGAGGTAAGGTAGATATTTTTATACACATTTGACAAATGATGAGTTTTGTATAGGTTAATTAAGTTTTCCATGTATGATCATACCAATTATTAAATAACAATAAGGGAACTAGAACCTAGGTATTTTGATTTTTTTAACCCAATGTGTTGCCATTTTTATCATGTTGTCTTTCTTTAGTGTGTACTTCTGATATAATATATTATTAAAATGATTGTAAAATATCATTTACATATAAAATGTTAAGATAAATGAAATTTTAATATTTAGAATTATATGAACATTAAAATAAGAAATATATACAGTAATTGGGCTTCCACTGAGATGATAATTTTTTTATGTTATTGAATGTTTCCTTTCATTATACATCAATTTTTCTATATCTGATAAATGTTTTTATGTTGTGATTCCCTACATGCATTATGGATAGAAAAATGACTTTTCTCTCATGTTGAGTATCATGAATTAATAATAATAATGTTGAAATATTTTACAGAATGAACTTCATGAGTTAGAAAAACAAATAGCAACTGTTTCTGCAGAAACTAAAGAAACAGAAAGGCTAATTTATCAGCAAGATGTTGCCATAGAGAATAGCAAACTTCACTGTGAAAACCTAGAAACACAAATCAAATCCTTACATACAGAAAATGTAAAGCTTAAATTTGATATAGAAGCAGCCCAAGAAGATTTTGAGGAACACATGATAAAATATAATGAATACTACGCAAAAATTAAAGTGCATAAAGATACCTTGGAGGAGGAAGAAAGCAAATGGTCATTTATAATTGAACTACATGAAAAACAAGATCTTGTTAAAAAACTGAAGATAATGAAAGAGGAACTTAGGCAAGATCTTCAGAATCCAGAAGGAAACCGGATGAAACAAATACAGGTTTGAAATATCACTTATTAAAACTTTTTCTATTCTTTTTTTTCCTTCTTTTTAAATCCTCACCTGAGGACATACTTAGAGAGTGGAGAGAGAGAGAGAGAGAGAGAGAGAGAGAGAGAGAGACGGGAATTGAGTTTGCAATTGAGGTATGTGGCCTGAGTGGGAATTGAACCAGCAACTTTTCTGGGCACAGGATGATGTTCAACCAACTGAACCACCCAGGCTGAGCTATTCTCTTTTTTCATGTGCACTTATTAAGTGATAAATTTATCATTAACTTAATCGATTAAGTACTCATGGCTGCTCTAATGAAATTCAAAAACTATTTTCACAACTTTAAAAAACTTGGATAAGCACATGAGTTATGTAACAATTATGTCACGTGTGCAAATGCATAAAGATAACATCTCCAAACTCCATGTGGATTAATACAAATGCACAGTCAAACAAAGTCACAGTGAACAATTAGTACATTTGTTGCAGAAAGTGTTACTAACAAAAATGTTGAAGCCCTAGCTTCTAAGCTAATGGATCCAGAGCAATCCAAGGCAATTTAGTATGCTTAATGCTGTTTTGCAAATAATATGAATTAATAATTGCAGCTTATACATTTTTCTATTTCTTTTACTATTCTTTGAAGACAGTGGGAGAGACAAACTTAAAATATCTATTGTGTCTTGCTAGAGCCTTACAAGTATCCTTTACATTGTTACTGGACAATTTTCACTATAATTACCATTATCCTTTACATATTACTTCATTTGGATTTTAGTTGTAAATGCTTAAATATAAGTTTTGTTTATTTGTTTGTATTGTAGTTTTTTATTACTTGTACCTTTAGAAGTAATATTCTAATTCTATTTCTCAAAAAGAAATATTACAGCTAGTTTTATTAAATTATAAAAACACTGAAAATCTTGGCTTTATATTCATCATTCACTGTTTAACCTGTATATATTAAATTTTATAAACATACAGGAAGACATTACAAAGCTTAAGGATAAAATCACAACTACAAAAGAATCTATCATTGAAAAAACTTGTTTTCTTGAGGAAGAAAATAAGACACATGAAAAATTAAGAAAAGAAATAGAGGTAAGTCTTAATCACCTGGATTTTAAAGTTTTATGGAATTTTTCTTAAACATACATTATTTTCATACTTTCCATAGTTTATTCTCAATCTTCAAATAGCTCAAGAACAATAAAGAACTCTACATAAAGCATTAGAAAAGTCCAACACATCCTATGTAATAAAAGCCTAATATGTTAAGTGTCTGGTTGTCCATTCAACTAATCAAAGCATAATATGCTAATGATATGCTAAGGCTAGTCAACCACTCACTATGACATGCACTGACCACAGGGGGCAGATGCTCAACACAGAAGCTGCCCTCAGCCCACAGGCCCTAATCACTGCTAGCCAAACTCCTAGTCCCTCCCCCAAGCCAGCAGGCTCTGCCCAATGGAGAATGGGGATCTGGGGTGGGTGGTGGCAGACATGTGCAACACCAGGCCAACGCAGGTGGGAGCTAGTGGAGTTTGATTGCCCCACTGGTCACCCCATACACAGAAGGCAACTGGCAGCAGGGGGCAGGGCCGGCTGCCAGCAGCTGGGGAAGATTGGATCTGATCGCAGGCCAGGCCTAAGGACTCTACACATGCATGAATTTCATGAGCCGGTACTCTAGTTAATAGATAATTAGAGATAACTCCCTCATTCAAAGGTATTCAAATATGAATCTATTTAGACAAAGCAAGCATTCACTCCTATTTCAATCTGTACTAAAATTATTACAAATCTAATTCCACTAACAACCTACACCCAATTAAAGGCTAGAAAACAGGCTATTGAGTCAGAAAAGATGACCTTTCCTAGAGACTTTACAAAGCAGAGTAAAAAAAACACATTGGAAGTCAGTATTATAAACCCCTTGACTTCATATTTGCTATTAAGTCTAATTTTAAAAAACTGATATAAAAAATTAAAAGTGAGACCAAGTTTGGGATAGCACTGGTAGACTTCTGTAGTCATAATTGTTTAGATGAATGGAAATGAAAATGAAGAATATGTTGTTAAGATCAGGTAAATAATTTTCACTGTAAAGGTATTAAAGATACATGTCTTTAACTTATTTGTGACTAATTTGATACAATTAATAAGCATCTGAGTTGCCATGGCCTGGTGGCTCAGTTGATCAGAGCAACATCCCATAAACCAAGAAGTTAAGGTTTTGATTCCTGGTAAGGCACATACCTCAGTTGTGAATTCAATCCCCAAGTTGGGCCGCTACAGAGGAAACGGATCAATGTTTCTCTCTCACAACATTGTTTCTCTCTCCCCTTCCCTCTTACTAAAATCAATAATAATAATAATAATAATAAAATCCTTGGGTGAAGATAAAAAAAAATCTGTATATTTATACTATAATAAAAATATTTAACTGATAAAATGGATAAGTAAGATGTAGTATATTGTACAATATTATTTGGCAATAAGAGGGAATGGAGTACTGATACATGCTAAAACATGGATAGCCCTAAAAATATTATGCTTAGTGAAAGAAGCCAGTCACAAAAGACCACACAGTGTATGATTCCACTTTATAAAATGTCCAGAATAGACAAATCTATATAAAGAGAAAGTAGATTAGTAGTTGCCTAATGCTAAAGGTAGGATGAAGAAATGGGGAGTCACTATTAATGGGTACCAGGTTTCATTTTGGGCTAATGGAAATGTTCTAAAATTGATTGTAGTGATAGCTGCACAACCCTGTAAATATACTAAAATCCATTAAATGGTACAGTTTAAAGGGAGGATTATATGGTATGTCAATAAAACTGTTTTTAAAATGTTATTTGTAGGGTGAACACTGATCTCAGGAATTATGACATTTTTGCATTCTTGTGCCAAGACACCAAAACTCATACTTTTCACTGTGCTTCATTGCCTTCCAGTGTTGCATTGTCTGGCTCAGCATACACAATAATCTACTTACTGGCAAGGAAGTGGACATTATATAAAACTTTTGGGTCAATTAATCTGTTTCAGTGAAGAACTAGATACAAAAAAAAAATTACTCTTAACTGGTAACTGCTTAACAAGTAGAAAACACTTCATCCCAGATGTTTTACTTGGATTCAAATCTCAAACATTATCACTTGCTTATCTGAAACCTTGGTCAAATTACTTAATCTCTTTATCTTTCGCTTCCTTATACAAACATGGGTATCATAATATGCACATCATAAGGTGTAATGAGAATTTAATTATATGTAAAAGGCTCTCAGAAGACTAACATATACTAAGTGTCAAGTAAAGCCCTGTTGTGTTTTCTTTTTTTCATAGGTACAAAATAAGAGATATGGTGCAATTCTTAAGCGTTTGCATTGTCAGCTGAACAAGCTTCAGTCAAATAGAAACCAATGGCAGTGGAACATTCAACAACTAGAAAAAACTGCAGCTGAACTAAGAAAATGCATTGCAATGAAAGATTAACATGGCCATAGGACAATGTCGAACACAGAGTTTTGCCACAAAAATTATAGGCAAGAATGTTGAGAAATCATTCAAGTTCTTGTTTCCAACTAATTATTTTTTACTGAAGTATAGTTGACATACAATATTATATTTGTTTCAGGTGTGCAACACAGTGATTCTACATTTATATATTTTACCAATGAGCTTCCACTGTCAGAAGTCTGTCTTAATGGCAGATATATTTATCTTTATTTAATTAGTCCTTCCATCCCTACAATTGATAGCAGTAGAAAGACAATAGGAAGGCTTACAGAAGAATAGTAGATGACTCCATGAACATTTTTCATGTATAAGATGTATTGTACTCATGAATGCCTATTTATAAACTGTTGTCTTCACTATTATTTGAAGTAAATATTTAGAAGAAAAACTCTTGAATTTACAATGATTTAAATTGTTAAGATATTTAAATGGTTGTCTGTTTTAAACTTTATTAAAACTTGTGTTTTTTTTACTACTGCCTTCACAGCAGTCCATAAATATTAACATTTACAATAATATTATATGTTCAGTGCCTCAGGTATGTTTCTTAGTTTTCTGTTTCATTCAGAAGCTGGCAATCATTTTTCTTTGTTATTAGATAACATATTTTTAGAGTGCTGCTAAGCATAAATATTTTGTTCATGCTTCTGTCTATAAATTTTTTATTACTATTCTATGACTAAAATAACATTGTGTAAGATAAAATTATAAGCTCTTTAAAACTGTTAATCATTATAGATAAATGTTTCGTTTTTAGTTTTATTGAAAGGCAAATATTATGTTCATGGCCAAAATCAAAATTTAATTTGTTCCTTGTAAGATGAAAGTGCTCTTTCTCATGACTTTCTCATATATATATATGAAATCAATCAAATATATATATATTTGATTAATTTTTTACAGAGAGGAAGAGAGAGGGATAGAGAGCTAGAAACATTGATGAGAGAGAAACATCGATCAGCTGCCTACTGCTCACTCCCTACCAGGGATGTGCCTGCAACCAAGGTATATGCCATTGACCAGAATCGAACCCGGGACTTTTCAGTCCGCAGGCCAACTCTCTATCCACTGAGCCAAACCGGTTTCGCCTCTCATGACTTTCTTGAGTAAAAATTTTAGGAACAAAAATAAAATATTAATTATTAAGTACATGGTTTTTATTGTTTTAAGAAATTTTATTTTTTAGTTACAATTTATATTCTGTGTTATTTTGTATTAGTTTCAAGTGTATAGCATAGTGATTAAATAATCATATACTTTACAAAGTGTTCCCCTCTCTATATTTTCAGTATCCTGGAACCATACAGAATATTCTCAAGATTATTGACTACTAGAGGCCTGGTGCATGAAATTCATGCATGGGTAGGGTCCCTATATCTGGCCAGAAATCAGGGCTGATATGTCCGACAACTGGCAGGGTGATCAGGAGGCCCCCACTGGCACTTGCCTTGGTGGGCCTGGGGCTGCCAGCTTGCCAGCCCCATCCCCCCAATTGCCCCTCTGCCGCTGCCAGTTGCCTCTCTCTGTGGGAGGCAACTGGCAAGGTTATTGGGGGGTGGGGTGGCCCCAGCCCACTTGCCAGCTGGTCCATCCCCCTGCTGCCACCTGCTTGCAAGCTGATCTCATCCACCACCACCACTGCAAGTTGCCTCTCTCAGCGGGGTGATCAGGGCGGCCCGCTGGCACCTGCCTTGGCTGGCCTGGAGTCTGCAGGCTGCGGCAGCTCCTGTGTTGAGCATCTCTACTCTTGGTGGTCAGTGCTCATCATAGCAGCCAGTCATTCCACCCATGATTCTGCTATTAGGTTAATTTACATATTAGGCTTTTATTATATAGGTTACTCCCTATACTATACTTTACTGAATATATGATTTTTATATATTTGCTTTAGGACTTAATTATTTCAAGTCAATATCATTAAAATGATACCAAGAATATATAGAAGTCACATTGAGACTAGTAGGAAAGGCTCACCCTACTCCCACAGGTGGTTACAGGTTTTGAAGAGATAGCTCAGTGTCAAAGGTTCCCCATGAGAAGTGTAAGGACTCAACCCCATGCCAGCCACTCCAGCTCAGAGTACCAGAGCTGGGAAGAGACATATCTGGCTATGAAAAGAGTGGGAATTCTGTCCACCAGGGACAGCTGAGAGCCTACTAGGGACCAGGCACTTTCTTAACGGGACAGCACACAAAATATCTTTTGTAGCCACTTATGCTGGGCTCCAGAAGAGAGAGGGAAGAGGGGCCTAGAGTTTTGTGAGGAGAGACTGGGGTTTTTGTCTCCATGGATAGTGTGGAAGAGACTATGGCTAGCGTTCTTGTTCTGAGTCCCTCTCCCATACCACAGGTGACATTTTTTTTTTTTTTTTTTTTTTTTTTTTTTTTTTTTTGCGAAGGACTCCCTTCTACACAGCATCAGCCTGAAAGATTACAACAGCCTTACCCTCCAAAGTCCCTATGGCCCCACTCTGTGAAGCTACCTATCAAGACTGGAAGTAATAGCAGATCTATCTAATACATAGAAACAGACATGAAGAGGCAGCCAAAGTGGGGAGACAAACATGCCCCAAATAGAAGAATAGAAGAAATCTCAAGGAAAAGAGCTAAATAAAATGGAGGCAAGCAATTTACCAGATATAGAGTTTAAAGGTTATAAGAATGTATAAAGAACTTAGGAGAAGAATGAAATCAGTGAGAACTTAAATAGATAGTAAACATAAGAAGGACATAGAATCCATGAAACAGAACTAGTCAGAAATGAAGGATACAATATCTGAAATGAAAAATACACTAGAAGGAATAACAGTAGGTTGGGTGAGCAAAATATTGAGTCAGCGATTTGGAAGATAAGGTAGAAAGAAACATCCAATCAGAGCAATAACAACAGCAACAAAATTTAAAAAGTAAAGGTAGGTTAAGTGTCCTTTGGGACAACATGAAACATAACAACATCCACATCATAGGGGAACCAGGAGAAAAGAGACAGCAAAGTATAACCTATTTGAAGAAATAATGACTGAAAATTTCTCTAACCTGGTTAAGGAAAAAGACACACAAGCCTAGAAAGCACAGAGAGCCTTAAACAAAATGAATGCTAAGAGGCCTAAACCAAGACACATCATAAATAAAGTAATAGATAAAGAGAGAATCTTAAAAGCAGCAAGAGAAAGACAGTTAACTACAAGGGAGCTCCATTAGACTATCAGTTGATTTCTCAACAGAAATATTTCAGGCTAGAGGGATTGGCACAAAATATTCAAAGTGATGAAAAGCAAGGACCTACTGCCAAAACTGCTCTATCTAGCAATGCTATCATTTAGAACCAAAAACATAAAAAGAGCTTCCCAGACAAAAAGCTAAAGAAACTCATACCACCAAACCATTGTTACAATAAATGTTAAAGGGTCTTCTTTAAGAAGTAGAAATTTAAAAAAAATAGGATTATAGTTATAGAGATAAAGTGGAATAAATATGTATGTACCAATAATCACTTTAAACATAAATGGCTTAAATGCTTCAATAAAAAGACTTCGGAGAGATGAATGGATAAAAAAAAAAAAAAAAAAAAAAAAAAAAAAAAAAAAAAAAAAAACAAGACACTATATATGCTGTCTACAAGAGACTCACCTCAGAAAGAAAGACACATATAGAATAAAAGTAGAGGAATGGGAAAAAAATATTTCATTCACATGGAAAGAAGGGAAAAAGTTGAGGTGGCAATACTCATATCTGACAAAATAATCTTTAAAACAAAGGCTAGCCGAAACCTGTTTGGCTCAGTGGTAGAGCGTTGGTCTGCAGACTGAAAGGTCCCAGGTTTGATTCTAGTCAGGGGCATGTACATTGGTTGTGGGCACATCCCCTGTAGGGGGTGTGCAAGAGGCAGCTGGTTGGTATTTCTCTCTCATTGATGTTTCTAGCTCTCTATCTCTCTCCCCTCCTCTCTGTAAAAAATCAATGAAAATATATATTTTTTAAAAACAAAAAACAAAAAAACAAAGGCTATAGTAAGATACACACACAAAAAAAAAGACACTACATAATGATAAAGGGAGCAATCCAACAAGAGTGTATAACACATGTAAACATTTATGCATCCAACAAAGTAGTACCTAAATATATAAAGCAATTCTTGATGGACATAAAAAGAGAGATCGACAGTAATACAATTGTAGGAAGGGATTTTAACACCCCATTGACATCAATGGATAGATCTTCCAGACAGAAAATCAACAAGGAAAGGGTGGCCTTAAATAACACACTAGATCAGCTGGATTTTTTAAAATGTATTTTTATTGATTTTTGAGAGAGAGGAAGGGATAGGGATAGAGAGATAGAAACATCAATGAGAGTGAAACATCAATTAACTCCTGCATGCCCTCTACTGGGGATCAAGCCCACAACCCTGGCATGTGCCCTGACCATGAATCAAACCAGTTTTGGGGAGATTAGGAAGTCATGCACTGAGAATCCAAGGTGACACCTTTGAATATTTTAGTAGCAAGCGGCCCACTCATAAGACCATGGAGATATTGCAGAAACTCTGAGATACAATGAATTTTTTGGACAGGAGGTCTCAGCAGAAGTCTGTGCAAGTGGAAGATCTGTTCAGCACAGCAGTGGTCAAGTCCATGCTGTCTGCTACCTTCCAACTACTGAGTCTCTTTTTCCTAGGACAACGTGAGCCAAGTCCTTGATATCCTCAAAAGGACATCAAGTCCTTTAAGTAGTGAAAATACTTATATTTGTTTTAGAGGATGTTAGAGGTTCTTCTTAGAACAGCGAGGCTTGGTGCCTTGGGATCGAAGTCTATGTGTATAACAGCCAGTAACTGAGCAGCGGTCCATTGGACCACTCACCTTGATTCAGGACCAAGGCAACCTGGCTTAGTCTCTGTTCTTCCTTTGGAAAAAGGCCACAAGTCATCACCTTGGTACTGAAGAGAAAGCTTTGTGAGTAAGGTAGACATATTAG